ATTGAAAGTGCGGAGCCAGCAAGGGTACAGCCTTGCTAGCGTTTCTTATCTTTTTGCTTCTTTTGCACCGCGCGCACAAGAATAGCAAAGCCACTACGGATTACGGGATTCAGCCAGGCGTTTGTTTGCCACTTTGGATAATAATGCCTTTGGACCTTTGGTTTGTCTCCATAAGCAGTGCCGCTGGATAGTTTCTTTGAAGTACAGGAATCTGGTTTTTATTCCGGTATGCTCTCCAAGCTTTTGTCCAAGGGCTCCCGGACCAGTTGGGCTCTAGGCGCTTGGAGAGGCTTTATTGTTCCTCCTTTCGGTATCCTCATCACTTTTCCAGCATCCTTGAAGTAACATCTTGATAATAAATGCAATATTCCCTGTAAACTGGGCCAATCACCCAAATCATGAGACCGGATATTGACTTGATGGCAAGCAGTTGCGCACGTCTTCGATCCCAAGTGCTTCCCAATTCGAGGCGAACAATGACCACAAGACAGATACCACGCGTCTACCAGACAGCATCGACACACCGCACTAGCGACCAGCCATCTCACAGCTCCTCTATGCTTCCCACACGACCCTTGAAGGAATTTGGACCATCAGTTCGAGCAACTACGTGGGACCAGTCATTGTGACCAGGCATAGGCATCTTCGATTCAATTCCCATGGATTTCTCTTACGTTAAGTGACAGCGTCAACAGCATTGATTTCCTCGGTCTTCTCATACAGTGTCTACTCTGAATCGACGCAGGGGTTGCCTCCAATGCTTCAATAGAGGCCTGGTAAGTTTGTGGCGTCAAGCATTGATGGACTGAACAAGAATAACATTGTTCAATTATTTTTTCTATTTCCGATGTGTTCGGCAAAGCGCTCTGTTCTGTTATTACTTGCGTCTACCTGTTTCCTCCCACAAACCTTTCATAAAGCCTTACACACCATTCATCTACGGAATCTTAGAGACGTTTTAGGCCGTGAATCCTTCATGGCGACAAGCATTCATAGGATGACGGAGTGCATAAAGTTCTGACAAACACGTGGCTTGAGAATCCCAGTCAGCGGCTTCAGGGGTACTAAATCGGGAGAGCTACGACTCTGAGCCTCTCATGTTGGTACAGGTCAATCTAGCCTGCCCTGAGAATGTCGGAACCAGGCGGTCGGGTCCTTGAGCAAGACAGCATTGGCTGAGACATAATCAGAGCGTTATTTAGACTCGAGCAACGGTCAAATGAGATGGACGCCCGCGTGCGGAATATTGTTATGTGTAGTGAAGCGGCTCAAGTTGACCAGTCGTCGTGCGATTATATAATAAGCTCTCAGCCAGTCAGATCCCCTCACACCAGCAATTGTGTCGCAGAGCCGCCTGAGGTCACTCTACGCAGACCTTTGACGCCGGACTGCTCGGCGCTCAAGCTTGGAGCCTCAGATGAAAGCACGCAAGCCCATTCGTAGCGAGTCAAGCAAAGTCTTGATACCATATTGGTAGCACTTCTCGCGCGCTTTCATGCCTCTCAGGATAGAGACCCCTTGGGCGGCTGGCTAAGCCAGATTCCATTATATAAAGACGGCCCTCCGTTCAGGAAGGTAGAGTGACATCCAGAATCTACCTGCTCGCTGGGATTCCCTAGGCTGCTTGGGGGGTACCTTAGCCATCACAACTTTAGCGCTCCCACTCCCTTGATCTGGCGAACACACTGTTCCTTCGCGTTTCTCTCGGGCCCTTTTGTTGATACGGAATCTTGCTAGGTTGGGTCCAATCTCTCATGAGGATCAGTAAAGTAAGAATAGCATTATTATTGGCACCACCGTGACCACTGTGACTCTGACGGCAGTGCTCTAGGTCCATCGTGGTGGAATCATACTCTAGGCGGGAGTCGCCCTTTAATCAGCTGCACGGACGGGGCACGAATCACAGCAATTCGTCAGGCTACTCAGGTGTTGTGCCCAATCAATCGCTTCATTCACAGCGCTTCCAGAGCCAACGAGCTTTCACGAACACCCACTCGGCTTTTTCCCCATCCCTGTCATCCCTCAATCGTCCTAGTTCCCTCGTGGCTTCCACTCTTTTTCGGGATCAACCCCAGAAGCGATCCCAGCTCACTAAACCAAGAGAAGCTAGTTCGTTTCTAATCTTGCATCAGCTTGCATCCTTTTTACAACGCTGTTGTAACAGAAATTTTTTTTTTTTTATTTTTGTTTGAGAAAAGCAAAAGGGTCTTGGCGCGAAAATCACTCCTGTAACCGCCCGGCTTTTGACCAGCTAAGCACCCACGCACAACCACTCAATCCCTCACCGCGCGCTGGCCTTGATTGCTAGCCCAATAACAAATCAGGTATGTGCTTACCTTCCTACTCCACCTCTCCCCTTCTCTTCTCCTCTCCTCTTTTTCTCCTCTCATATAAGCCCGTCACGCCCCAGAGCCTCTCTTTTCTTGTGCTGCCATCACGGCTCACTCATTTGCCCGCCGCAGGCACCGCCGTCTGATCCTGCCTCGAGTCATTCATTTGACGAGACGCTCTCCCCAACTCGACGGCCATCATGTCTCCTACCTCGACCAAGCCCATTCCTCCCACCATCAACACCACCTCCCCTACCGCCGACACGCCTAAATCCCCAAAGCCGACCTTGCCCGCTCTCAAGACACCTAAAACTGCGAGCCTACCCTCAGAGCTACCACGCAGCCCACTGCCCGGCCGGCTGGAGATGATCAAGCAAGAAGAGGATGACATCAAAACACCTATCACACCACCACAAGCCTACACCGAATTCCTCAGAACCCTCTCCCCTGCCGTCTCCACCCCTTCCACAGGTAGATCGCCAATGTTCGACCGCCTCTCCGGCAAATCCACACCCATCACCCAGCCCTCCAGTGCCAATAGCTGTCTCTGCAGCAGCCATGACATCTCGAAAACAGATTCCGCACCCATGATCCCACCCTCACCATTCATGCGCCCTCCGAACTCAGCACGCACACCCACTCTCCTACGGAAACTGCGAATCCCACAATCACCAGCCTGGTCTCCCGCTACAGACTCGCCAAAAAGCAGCGCATTCAGTAGCGCTCACCGCTCTCCGTACTCACCTGCCGACTGGGTCGTCGATGGGAAAGCGAGATACTTTGAAGGGCCCAGGTCGTGTACACATAAGCCGGTCAGCGTGAGGCAGGTGATTACGAAAACGGTGACATACACGAGGTCGCCGATCACGCCGCTTGATCCGGCGCCGAAGGGGAAGAAGAGGAGGTTGGAGTAGAGCTCGCACCTGCACCTCATACACCTTCAACCTCGCTATGAGGATTCGACCCACATTTGTCCATGCAATCAAAACGCCCATCCATCATCACTACACTACTTCACATCGAAAGCTCTTCACGACCTAATGTTGCCCCCCTCCCCCAATGCCCTTACGCGCTGCTCGAAGCCACTGCATTACCTATCACTCTACCTACGCGACATGGGAGGCATATGACGTGACGAAACTTGGAGCTCGGCGTCGGACTTGACCCCGCAGACAGGAGTTCTGCCAAATTTTGTTTTTGTTTGCTCTTAATCTTACTGGCGCATTGGAGCTTGCAAAGGAGACAAGCGGGGGGAAGCTGGGCAAGGCACAGTCAATGTTCTGCGCCAAGATACCACTGTTTGCTTACATCAAATCAATTCATGCTATCGCTTTTCCCACCAATTCCACCCAACCCACCCGCTCTCTCTACACAACAACCATAAAAACAACAACAACAAAAACAACAACAACGACAACAACAACCCGCTGATCCACCCCAAATCCCCATCCTGCATCATCTCGCATCTCGCATCATGCAACCCTATTGACCCCCCCCCCTCTCCCCACCACCATCCCTGCCCCCCCAAGCTCCGTTAAAAGCGGCGATCGAAAAGCGGGCCACCCCATCCATTTCCATCCCCTTGGTACCGACCGCCCTTTTCTTTTCCCCCCCACCACCACCACCACCACCTTACCTTACGTAGCTGTAGCCGCCCACGCTAAACACACAGGGGCGCTACCTTACCTTACCCTGACTCACATTGCGCAAAACACGCTAACGGAAGGCCGTCGGGGGGGCCCAGTCAGGATCGTCGAACGGGGATCGTTTTTTTGGGAAGCGCCGTGGGTTGGGTGTTTTTCAATAATAGAATAGAATAGAATGGGATGGGATGGGATGGGATAGGATAGGATAGGATAGGATACCGATGCTCTTTTCTACCGTTGCACTCTCTCTGTCTCTCTCTCTCTCTACTGCATGTGCAGGGATGGGCGCGGATTTTACCTTTTCTGCTGTGGTGTGGTGTGGTGTAGTGACCTAACTACTGAAATTCCGAGGGGGTGAAGGATCCCAGGCTGCACGAGGAGGGATCGCGGACGCATGTGTCCCTACCTCGATGTAGCAGGCGGTTAGAAATCCGCTGGGGCCAATCAGCTTTGGGGTTGGGGGCCGGGTGCTTTGATTGAACGATCTACTCGATGGGGTTTTTGGGGTCCGAAGAGATGGACGGACTGGACGTGTTTGCTTGTTTTGCTTTGCTTTGCTTTCACGAGGGGGGGTTTTTGTTGGGTATCTTTGCGGTTTGGAGGCGCTGGTGGGCTACTTGGTCGTTGGGGTCGGGGAGGCATTGTTTGGAGGGATGGAGTGGGGGAGAGGCGCGGGTTTGCTTTCTGGGGTGGAGGGGAAGTCGTCGTAAGCTTGGGGAGAGGGGAGGGGAGGGGAGGGAAGAGGGTGTGTGTGGGTGACGGAAGGCAGGAAAGAAAGACAGAAAGAAGGAAGGAAGGGAGCGACTACGGGGATGAAAGTTGGAAAAACAAGGAATGTGTTGCAATGGAGTGGGCAGGCAAGCTTCTTGTGGCCCAATCATCGTTCCGTACCCCATCAGCCTGCTCTGGTCATTTCCGGGCCAGCAATCACAAGGCCACCTAGGAGTTACGGTGCACAAGTCTGCAACGCCGCGTTGCTCACGGCTCAGAGCCCCCTTCAAAATGCTTGATACTGCCTGATGGTTCAAGCACTAGCCATCACCGAACCGTTCGTCCAAGGGTCACCGGGCAGAGTCACCGAAGAGCCATTGTCGGGCATCACTCCCGTCAAGTTCAACAGCTCGAAAGGGATGGCCCGGTTGAACCCGGTCGAACCGGCCTGCGAAGACACCGTGTCGAAATATTGCAGTGCAACACCAGCATCTGCCAGTGAGACCCTCGACGCATTTCCAACCTTTTCACCGGGGTCGTACTTCTTGCCCGACAGCTCCAAACGGATGTTTCCGCGACGACCTTTCGATCACTCGTCAGCACCTTTGAGAAAACATGTGGGCTCTCATGTGTAAACATACCAAGGCCTCTTGCCTTACCGCCCTTGCCTTTCTGTCTCGTGCACATACTAGTGATGGCGTTTACCGCTTCCCAAAGCTCGTACCAGGTCATAACAGTCGCTGGACCCTCAATGTCGATGCTTGCTTGACATTTCCTATCGACTATCCACAAAGAAAGGGAATAGAATATTAGTCGTGCTGTTTCTTGACCTGAGGTAGACAAGCTATGCTTTCTTACATCCTTCTAGCACAAGGGGCAATTCCTCTTCAACGCTCGGGTCTCCAGAGTATCCGAATACGCGAGCCTGCTTGGTAGCTCTCATGTTCACGACTATAGCCACACATGAATTCCACGCAGGTCCGGGAGTCGAAGTCGTGTCGCATTTGACCTGCACATTTCGAAGTCAGTATGACTTCCCCAAGGCAGAAAACTCGTCGCAAAACAAGATTTGGATACGTTATGAGTATTTGCTCCCGAGATATGTCTGAGGACTCAACTATGGTATCGGTTGTAGGGAAAAGGCTCCGTAAACTCACATTCGGTGGTTTGTAATCAGCGATTGCAACATTGACTTTGTTGTCGCCGCCTAAAGTGTATAGATTTTGACATGTTAGAGGAAGTCATTCAACATCCAGATACTCCATGCTCGTACTCCATCGGGCTTCGAAGTAGTATAGACTTTGGGTTGCAAGTCCCATGGTGCCTGACCTTTGATCACTCACCTATGTTGAAGGCCATACCTCCCATCCCTCTTTCAATAACGCATGTTTGAAGCGTTACCAAGGCAGCTTGGCCGATTTCAGTCGGAGACGCCTTCCCAGATATGGCGCCTGCGCTCAGGACTGGCTGAACGAAGCACAACCCGTCGTCTGTTGTTCATGCGTCAGTGTGAGATGAAGAATATTTGCAGGCCAAGTAGCGGGTGTTGTATCCAAGAAGTAGAAAGAAGTAGACTATGGGGGTCTTACTGCTGAGCGTTCTCAAAGGGAGCGGACCGTCATTCGGCACCCCGCTGTCACGCTCGGCAAAAGTGTATGTGGTCTCATCCTTCTTCATGAAATTGAATACGTTGCGACAACTGCTTACTTTCAGATTCTTCCCGTATCTCGTTGCGTCGCATGCAATTTTCAGCCTATTGTCAGATGAGGAGTTGTTGCTTGATGGTACTAGGATGTTTGCAGGCGACAGCAAGTCAGAGGATGGTATTGGCCCAGCGGCCAGACTGCCAACGCTTTCGGAACGTCGCGACAGACTCGCAGCAAGGACAGTGTCTGAGTATAGGGCCCATAGTATCAGACAGAAGAACATGGTTTGTAAATGAGACAGACTGCTACCTCTAGCATGTCAGGATGGTCAACTTGCGCTCATAAAAAGAGAGCCAGTTCAGTCGCGAAGGTCTGAAGTCTTCTTTGTGCCTATGATTGCCAAAAACCCTACAAGCGTCATGACGTGCGAGATATATCCTCACTTATGCGCGCCTACCTTAGGTCTCTCGTCGAGCGGCTTTACCTTTGTTTAGCAACTATTCCCCTTAATTCTCCACCCCCTTGCCACATTTCTCGCCCTTCATTGGCTGTATCGTGTGAGCAGCGTATGCACAAACCCAGCATCTCTCGAGGGACAAACATGCTGGCTCATGCCTTAAAGATAAGTTAAACAAAAAGATGCGATTGCGACTCCAAAATCGTCCTATCCACCCCTATTGCAACAAATCTTGCATGGGAGGTCTAGCCAGGCTTACCCTTCAACTGCACCATCAATTGGAGACGCTCAGCGTAGATTACTATGGTCGTCCAGTGAATCTGATAGACAAAATTAAGGCATGCGACGGCATTAGTAGGGAAGGAAAAGATTCCGCTTCGGATGGTAGTCCCGACGACAATATCTATCCGTATATTGACGGACGCGGCGGACCCGCGGCGGCACATATCGGTTGTACGTTGGGCAGCCCAGATGTGCTCAGCAGAGAGCAAGTCTGACGAGTACTCCGTGCGATGTAGGGACTATTGTTGTTGTAGGCGCCGCCAATGGAAACACGATGCGCATGATTGAACAGGCCAGAAAGCAGATTGCTTATCTCTTGTTGGAGTTGGAGCGTTAGAAGGAGCCATGAACAACGCTGCTTGTCACCGAGGCCGCTTGAACGATTCTCGTGGTCAACATCGCTGATCTTGTGAACGGAGCGACGTATCACAGTCATCTTGTCTCATGATGAAGCATTTCAGAAACTCCGTCACATGGCTTCATCTTCGGATGAGCCGATCATGGCACATTTCATTCTCGTGTATGTGATGGACGATTGAGTCAGCCAAATGAAGACAATCATCCCGTCGGCCAAACCCTGTCGCCAAGCCTGATCCTAGCCACCTGTCCTCTCTGTGTTACAGTCAGCGCAGTATGCACCCCAAAGAAAACCTTTCCATCCTTTCTCCTCGTCTTGGCCAGCGTAACAAACGGTTCTTCATTCTTCTCCGCACTATGCTGATCTACGCATACCATCTGGCATCTGCGACAGCCTCCCAACACGTCAAGGGTGACATCGTAACCAATGCGTAGGGAGCGCCAATCATCCTCGACGTACGGTTTCTCAGAGCCAGGGCTAGAGGCAGGATCTTCAGCAACGATGATGTTAGCACGGAAGACCGAGGCATGAGCAGCTTTGCCGTCTTTGATTTTGATTTGTTCGTTGAGCCGATTGAGGCTGGAGTGGGATATGGTGAGAATAGGGCTCTCGTTCGACAGTAAGATCGGTCTCTGTGTGATTTTGGGCGGCTGAGAGGAAGATCTGTCTTTGCTTGGAGCGTTCAGGTGCGCTTTCGAGTGTCTTGTCGAGAGGCCTGCCACGGCAGCTGGGAATCTTGCTAGAGTACAAGGTGCTCCGATCAGAGTGGTGAAGAAGTCGGCGATCTGTTTCGACGCATAGGTGTATGCGAGGACGTTCTCGCCGCAGACTTGCGAAGTAGGCATTGAATGTCTATCATCACAAGTTTGAAAAACGCCAGGATCGTCAGAGAGAGGCACCGAAATCTCGTTAGGCGTAGCGGGAGCTACTGGTCCACGAATGCGCACACGTAGGAGTCCCTTCTCTAGATCGAGACTTGGTCTGAGTAATGCCATCTTAGGGAACTTCTTCTGGCTCAACGCTGTTCGAGTGCCTGGATGGACCAAACACCATTCCCTGTCCCAAGCCAACCCTTCTGCCCTGACGTCCCACAGAACGCCCGGTGGTATTGCCCAGCCTCCGCAACTCTTGATGGGATAGATGGTAAGAGTTTCAACGTATAACTCACGGCCGCGAATTGGAGTCGCCTCGGTTCGCCGTGGCACTTCTGTATGATCGACAAAGAACTCTTCGACGAATCCGATGAAAGTCTTCACGTCCTGCATGTTGCTCATAGCACCAAGGCTAACTCTGAGCACCCCCGTCGGCTTTCCACCGATGGCATCGGTCTCATTTCCGCAGCGATGGCCGGCAGAGAAGTTGCGCTTCATCTCCCAAGGTGCCAGATCTAGGGCAGAAGCGATTCCTCCAGGATTACAGAGACCTCCGCTTCTTAGCTGAATATTGCGAATATTTGCAAGCTTCTCTACCTCCGTGTTGCTTATCCATTCGCTTTGCTTGTTACGAAGGTTGAAAGCTATGATAGGCCCTTGAGTTCTGCTGTCTCTGTAGGACGATGAAGAGTCTCGGTAAATCTGACAGACCTTGGAGCCGTTGTGGTGGCGTAGAGCATCGAGTCCGTTGCACAGTTGCTCGGCCAATAAGCCAGCGTGCAACGCAACACGCTCTGGAGAGCCGAATAGCCGTTCATAAACGTTCAAAGCGCTGTCTAGAGCAATAATGCTGTGTACTGGCAGAGTACCATCCTCCAGTTGCTCATGCAGATAGCCATGCTTTTGTATATGCCAGTTCTCTTTCCCGCATAATACCATTTCCACCGTACCACCGCCAAAGTAGCTTCGTTGTTGCAGCACTGAGGCAGATTCGTTGCGCACGATCAGCGCTCCCAGATCTGGAAAGCCGAAGATCTTGTAGAAGCTCAGAACCGTAAAGTCAGGCGCCGTAGAAGCATTACTGAGGTCAAGAGGAGACGTAGAGACCATAGCAGCGGCGTCGAGAAGGCTGTACACATACGTTCCACGCTTGGATGATCGGAGCCGGCTCGTCCAGGATAGAGGCAACCGTCTTCCGTTCATATTTGACTGAGCAGGGTATGCAAATAGGCCCAGGCTGTTCTCTCCGGGCAGTGCATTGGTACCCTCATCGAGCCATTCCTCAACCTCGTTATCAGACTCGAAGCAGCGGTGTGTACCTTTCGCTGCCTCTCGAACCCCAACCAAGCTCGTATGAGCATCCTTATGATACCCATACCAGAAGCCATGCTCTTGTTCTCTAAAACTCTCCATTACCAATTTGATCCCCGCTGTAGCATTTGCAACAAAGACGAGGTCATAATCGTCTGGGTTTGCGTTGAAGAACCGTAGCACCTGTAGGCGTACGTCTTCTGTACGACGAGTTGATAGCTGAGACGATGATGATTCAGAGTGGGGGTTTCCAAGTAGGCTTGACACCATGTCTTCAGAGAATTCATCTATAAGAGATTTGGGGTATAGAGTTGTGCCTGCGTGGTCGAGGTAGGTCGCTCCTGCAGCATACGTGAGTCTCTCGGCCCCCGTGTCTGTACCTTTGTGAGCCTACCTTGAAGCATGGGAAATTCTTTCTCTCTGATAGCATCGATTTCGCTGTTGTAGTCTGCCATAGCCTTTGAGCTTAGTTCTTCGCCCTCGGGCTTCTTGCTTGGCTTCATGGTGGCCATCGCGGCTTGTCTCGCACTTCGAAGGAGGACGGCGGCCGGTGTTCGTGCATCTGTACAAACGACCACTCGCAGGCTGTCTCTGACTCACTGTAGTAGCTAAAGTGGGGAAACGCCGTCAAAATTGCTATAAAGTGGAAGTCGGAGAAGCCCGATACATGGAGCTTTGATAGTGGAATGCCAAGAGCCTCTTGATACTGAGCTTTTCCAGAGTAATGTCGAGCCTTTCTGATTAAGCTCTGCGTATATACTTTGAAATATTGGCAATACACGTAAATTGGGAATTGTGATAAGCTTCTGAATGTCTTTGGGCCTTAGGGGCTCTCTATAGAATATTCAAAGCATCCACACCCACATACTGACCTGTTTACAAGAATTGGCCAACCACAGGTTCCCGCATTGCGGAGAACCGAGACAATTTGCCATGCTTAGATCATCGATCCATAGCAGGAAGGGCCTATACCTAAGAGGGAGTCAAACTCAACCTCCGGGGTTGCCTAGAATCCCCAATCGCATCTATCCGGCCAAGTCCATCAGCGCCTTGCATGCATGACCATAGCCACCAAGCTTCGACATGAATAAAATAGGGGGTATCGTTTCGAAAATGACCAGCGACCCTCTCAATGGAGTCCTTCCTGCACCCTTGATCCCAGCCAGCCCATGCATTGTCTCCTCGATCAACACTCCTTGCCCTCGCTCTTGCAGAAACTATCAAAAGACAGACCAGGATGCGCAGTTCATTATTGGGAAATATGACTCCCTGCCGATAGATTCAACCTTCAAGGCTCCTCTATCATATTAACAGGTAGTCCCAGCCCTTCTGCTGCATCACGTCCCGCCAGTGGACGTCCTGTCTTTCTCCCGCATCATCCGCTTGGCGCCATACTTCCTGAAGCAGGCGCACCATTCGGCCGAAGCTCCCAAAATCTGCATGCTCACCGAGGCTTGCGATCCGATCCGCAAAGGCAAAGCGAAATGGTGAATTAGGAGTGCTCATGGATCCACCGATCAAGAGTGGCCAAACGAGCGAGCGATCGAACCCATCGGGTCCAGCGGGGATGAACTCAAGTACTCCTGTTAACCTAGCCACGAGACCTTGCATGGATTCACTGTGTCTTGAAGACTCAGGTATTAAAGAACAGGCGTAGATGCGCGCGGCGAGTAGGTACATTGCGGTCATGTTCTTTGAAAGTTGCCTCGGACGAATGGCACCAGTTTGTGTGGAGGCATGCTCAAACTCTGCGCGTCCTAATTCTGAATGTTCTATGGTATCCAGATATTTTCCAAGCGAGGCGACGAGCGAGCAGATTTGGAAGTGATCAAGTTGGCCGGTGATTTTGAGCGAGTCGAGACAGGCAATCTCCGAGATGATGTACATAACCTTGTCCTCGCAGCCCATAAGCTCGGATAATCCGGAGGTAAGGTTTCCCTCATTCCTCCCACGGTATGTGGCTGCAAATTGAGGGCATCCTCCTAGCATAGTCGCGCCTAGAATGTCGATCCATGAGGTGAGTGTCATATTGAATGGCGGACGCGGGGTTTCATCGTCGACCGGTTCAAAATTGTGCTGCAAATGGAGCCTTTTCACACAGTCAGAAGCCGCCTGGAAATGCTGGTGCCATGGTATATCCGCTAAATCATCCCCTGGTCTACCAACAGTACATTGGAAAAATATCATGCCCAAACTTGCTTCCAGGATCTGCTCATGGTCAGTGTCAGTGTTACGTTTGCATGCCTCGCATATTTCGAAAATAGATGCGCCGCGATGCTTCATGATATCGAGTTCAAGTTGCTCGCTTTGCACTCGCTGGACGGACTTGAGATGGCTTGCAGAAATGCTCAAAGCGCAATGCAGGTAGGCCTTGTTCGACTCAAGAGCACGCAAGATGATCTCTGATCTTGCTGAGCCATGCTGATTGACCTCATGGACCGGGAAAATGAGCCTCAGAACGTTTTCGATAAAGTGGTCCAGCAATGGCCTGTCGCAATCCTCGACATCGATCCGCACTGACTGCGAAATTTGCGGCGTGTCATACCCGAAGTCAAAATCCAACGCCTCCTCAGCTCCAAAAATGTTTTCATTCCCGTAAATTTCATCGTGTACCCAGGCATGCTCTTCCGGAAAAGGTGTCATACCGGCTGTGACTGGGGGTGGATGATATGTGCTGAAGCTCGACGTTGAGGAGTCTTTCCGAGTGGGAACGTCGTTGACGTACATTTGGCTCTCGGTCTTGATGTCAACCTCATACGGTGGTGGGAGGAAACCCTGGTAGTGTGAATTCGCATCGTAAGGAGGGGAAAGGACATTGTTGTACATGTCGAATTGATCGTGGATTGGCTGTTGGCTGAAGTCGTATCCGGGGGAGTAGGGAGAGTCAACGGATGGGGCGCGTGTATGTGGATTTCCTGAATAGGACGCTGATGTTGGCAGGGAGTATGATAATCCTGGAGGAGTGTCCGCACCCATGGAGCCATGTGTCGCTTTCTCCGACACCTTGGTCCGCTTGATGACCGACTTGATGTGCTCTTTCTGCTTCTTCCGCAGAGTATTGTCATTCCACCATAACGGTCGTTTGTATTCGCACTGGAGGCCTAAGTTCCTACAAGCTTTGCAACAATTTTGGCCTTCGTCGCACTTCTTCCTTCGCAGGCGGCATGTGTAGCATCCTAAGTCCGGGGTTAGTCGGTTGACGGAAGGACAGAAGTTTTAGGTACATACCTGAGCGCGATCTTCTATGCATTTTGCTGGCTGCAGCGCTCTTGGCCGGCGATTGCTTAGGCGCAACCATCTGCGCAGACTTGGCAGTCTGCCCTGCTGCTCTTGGTGACATGGGCAAGCTTCTCGTCAGGAGGTATTGTGTCGTGAGCTGTCAAGATCTTATGGATATGGGTGCAGATGCGAAATCAAGGCGACAAGTGGGAAGGCGCAGAGCAAGACCGGTATGCTATTGTTATGAGTAGTATTAAAGGGTAGGAGCCTGACCAGCTGGCTCCAAGATATGATGATGACGGGGTGGGAGAACAATAGTTCCACGGTCTGCTGCAGGAGTCCTTGAAGTGAAGACTCGGACTTGATATGGAGTTATATGTAGACATAATTAGAGTAGGGAAAAGGCTTTCCAACTTTCTAGGGTAGGAAGCCACTGTTCTAAAAATGAACATGTGCTTCTGGATGAGGCCCCGCGATACCCAGCCAGAATACCGGCCAGATAGTGAGGCTAGCACGATGGAAAGCCTGCCCAACGATTGGTATGATGGAATGAAATTGACACAAACGCTAACGAGCTTGGAGCTTCCACAGGAAAAGAGGGGTAATTTGCTATTTTTGCTTCTTACGAAGCGCCCAAAGCTCATAGGATCCTGGTCGTCAATCATCATAAAGCTCCATTCATGGTTAGGATCATGCAGTCATACATATCGACCCCTAGCTTCACAATCGGCAGCGGGGCGGGTCGAAGAAGCTTTCGAAATTATCGAATCGCTGCAAGCCTCGTCAAGCTGTTCTAAAGCTACTGCATGTGATTCAGAAGTCGTCACATCTGTTCCGTTGCTTCCCCGTATGCGGCCCATAGGGAGGCAAGGGAGGAATTTGCTTTTCTTGTCGAGCAGCCTGCAGAGCAATATTTGCTCGATGCAAGTTTTCACTAGTCTTTTGGTTGTGGAAAGCAGAAAAGACACCGCAAAAATCGGTGAAATTAAAGAGAACGCGGACGCCATGTTCCACGTCCCAACCTCCAGACTCGCAAATGATTGCGAGATCACGAGATTGAGCGTCGGCCAACCATGCACATGCACCATACGGGCGACGCTATTCGATTTGGAGGTGAAGCACCGCAATTCCTTTCCTTCTTGGCAGCATGACAGGCCAGCAGACGTTGAAACTTTTAGCGCTGGCCCTAAGAAACGTGCCGCTCCAGCGCCAAAATGGAAGCTTGAAAAAAGAAAAAAAAACGTTGGTGCGGGGGAGCGAGCTTCGTGATAGGCTCAAGCTAGCAGTAAATTAGGCTGACTTGATGCTTCCATCGCTCGGGAAAAGATATGAAAACGGTCGTATTTGCTAAGAATAACTCATACCTACCAGCTACGATGAGTGATAAGTAGCAAGATCTGCAAAAGAAATGAATCCTTCCTGAAATCATTTTGCTTCATTTCCGACGCTAGCGAAAACGTCCTATGCTGACAACGGCCGCCGTTGGTGGTGGGTCAATTGGCTAGCGTTGAAAAGAATGTCGGCGAATCTTGAATGAGTATCAGCTACCAATGTTACATACTATCATGTGGCTTTTCGCAAAGTTCCGAGGACTTTGAGCAATTGTCCGTGTACTTGAATGCTACTTGTGGAAGAGCCCTGTGGCGATTCGTAGCGACCATGGCTCGTGATATCTAATCAATCGCAAGCCACCTGTAAGAACATCGAAGGACGTTTTATGATGAAGCTCAGGTGACTTGGACTCCCGCAAGGCAAGATTGTGGGAGACCCCTGTGAATCTCCGCTCCACTCAAAGAGGAAGCCACATAGCGAGCATTTTTACTCGTCTTGACAATGTGAATCAGTGGCATCGATACTCCCTATGAGTGGCGGTGAAGACTTCTGATCGACTGAGCACGAAGTAGTAGGTATGAGGATCCCGAACTGATCGCCCGCATGATTTTCTGGTCATGTGAGTAGGGAAGATTGGAAGGGTGGGCAGATATTGGAGCTGACCGTAGATAGGGAATCCAATAAGAATCTTGGTAGGGATGGAAGATCCGAATACGGAGGATGATGTGCGTGATTCATATCGTGCCCAGAAGATGGAGCATGCACGCCATCGATATCACCATCCTGCAAATGCGGGGACAACAATGACCAATGCGCGTTGTCCCTTGCGCCAATGTTTCTTGGGCATCTCCACTCCTGGTTCCCTCCATTTTTTCTACTGCCGAGACATATAGGTAGTCCTGAGTGAAGCCAATTAATGGCACTGAAATGACGACTTCGTTTGACTCTGCAAAGCAGAGCAGAGGCAGAAGAATGGTACCCTTTCCCTTTCCCTTTCCCGTTGCGAGCCGAGCCTGTACTGTGTACTGTGTAGTGGGAGTACTGTGCAGGCTTGTACATAAGCGTAAAGTCTGGTCGTTATTGGCTCGAATGCGGTAGATGCAGCCTTAGTTAAGTAGTAGGGATTTCCTTTCTTTCTGGCGGTTACATGGGGACTTTGTTGGATTTGGTGATGTGGCTAGCAGTAGATGACCATTCATTGGTGGGATACATGTGGCTCGAAATTTAAGCTTTGAGCTTCCTGCACCTCTCTGTTCCTCTTCACACCTCTGAATGCTCAAGGGTGCAGTCGGCGCACAAGATAGCAACGAATAATACCGCCTTATGGTGTTGATCCGACCTGATGGCTTGAAGATGTAGCCCGCTAGTAGAATGTGAGAAGAATTGTGAAACGGAAACCCTTCTCAGAGTACTCCAGCATACAGAGAGGGGAGCTTCCCTATAACCATGTCCAAGCGCCCAATCCCCAAAGACTTTCCTTTTTTTCCTTTCCTCTTTTTCGCTATGCTCTCACTATCGCTGTCGTGCTAGAGTGGTCTGCGAGGGAATGATTGATTCATCCCATGTTCATTACATACATACATACGAACATACACACATTCTCCAATAGTACTGCTTTCTCCAGGAATCGCCCTTCCAAAACTGGTATCAATTGAGTATTTGCGCGATGGTAAGTCATTGACAACAATTGATCCGCTCAATGAGCAGTCTCTGAATATATTAGGCGTTCATGCCAATGGCGCAACCGAGGGGGATTGAAATGTTCCAAAAAGGCAATGTGCAGTCGGTATTCGTCCAGCCATCGGCACCTAGGCCAGTCTCTCAAGCTACGGAGATGTATGATACCGAATTCGAAGAGGATCTGAGTGATTTCGAGGAATACTCGGGCCGCAGAAGCGAGGAATCGGTGGGTACCCAAGACCATCTCAGCTGCTGCATGTCTAACACATTCGTAGTTTGGCAACCGAAGCAACACAACGGTGTCGACTTTTGAAGAGATCCAAACCCCAGCTTTGAATGATTTTGGAGGATTCAATTTCCAATTACAGCTACAGCAAGAAAAACAAGGGCCGACAAAGCCTGTTGAAGGACCTATTGGACCACACCTATTCCGCATTTCGCAAGACTCAACCAGAACACAGGAACATGACATCTATCTTGACTGGTCTCCTGTATTGCCACAAGACCTCAGCGCTGGTCCCAAACCAATACTGACGACAGAACGGCAACAGAAAGTCGAGAAGGCTCCTCACAACAGTGTGCCCCTGCAAGCATGGACACCCCAACAGGTTGGATGTTGGATGACCGCTGCTGGGCTTGAATCGTCACTAGTGCAGAAGTTCCGCATGCATGATATCTCCGGCGCGATACTGAAAGATCTTCAGTTCGGGGATCTCAAAGAGCTTGGAATCGTGTCCTTTGGTCAACGCCATCAACTGTGGGATGCTATACGGAATCTCAGGGGTGGTCTAAGCGTCCCATCAACTCCAGCAGATGACCCATGTTACTCATCCACATCACCCAATACATCGGCAGCGCCACAACAGCCCATTCGACAACGTCGTGCAGATGACTGCTCCAACCCTTCAAGCCCAGACGACGACAAAGCCAAGTCACCAACGGTAGGACGAAGGCGAGCTCGAAGGGCAGTACGACCTGACGATGTCATTTCTCCTGGAGAATCCGCGTCGATCGTGGCCATTGAGCAACTCCTCCCTGAGCCGCATCATTGTTCGAAGGGGGAGAATTGTTCAAAATATAAGAAATACCAGCGCAAGATGGCAAGGTTTGCGAAAGAGTTCCCCATGGAATTGGAGCAGTACCAGGATGCCAATGCTGCTCCCAGCGAAGTCAGCATGCGGCCAATGTCTGAGGCAGTACCTTCTGTCGTTGCATCGTCGGACCTCCTAGGACCAGGTCGCTTGCCTGCACTTCGCCTCGATGAGGATCTCCTCCGCGTTGTCCAAACCCGCGATCCTCAAGAGAATGTCAGGCAGTTCCTCAACTTCCAGCACCTGGACGAGCCTCCCGAGGAATCCTCAACATCTCCGTATGAAATGTTTCCTCCGCTTTCGCCACCAGGACCCACACAAGCACCTCATAGCAACCTGAGCCTGCTTCCCAAGCTGACGATTCCAACAATCCAGCCACAGGATGCCCTTTCTGCTAATCGCACTGCTGTCCCATTACGACAAAATTACACCCCAATCACAGCTTTGTATACGAAGAACGAAAACAATGGCTCTAACATCTTCAGACTTGGCAGTCCGGCTTCCGCAATGGACGTTCCCGTCACAGCGATCCCTCTAGGTCCGATTGAGCGCGACGCTTCTCAGTCCGTACCACCAAGCATGCGACTTGGCGGGGACCCCATCTACCGCTCGAACTCTCGAGCGGACCATCGTCAACAGTTTCGCCAGCAATTTTCACCAGTCGATCGCCGTCAGGCGTTGTCGCCCATTCCCCGCGCACAGACTGCCAATCCTATTGAGCGATCGAGTTCCCATCGTCATCAGCCAAGGTTTGCCATGGCCCCTTTGCGAGAAACGTTTCTTTCTCCCATCGATGGCCAAGACGAATTGACCCCTACAGCCAACGACGTCAACTATGCCGGCTGGATGAAGAAGCGCAAGACGAAAATGCTCCGTCATGAATGGCACGAGAACCACTTCCGTCTCAATGGTACTCGTCTCGCTATGCACCGAGATGAGAAAGTTAACGATGCTCTTGAGTACATCGACGTCGACGAATATGCTGTCGCTTGTTCTTCGCTCGCATCGAACAAGCTCAACGCTGCTTTTAAGTCCCTGAAGCTTAGCAGTAAAAAGAAAGACGGCGATGATCATTCAGCATTTAGCTTCCAACTCGTGCCCGCAGCCGAGAAGAAGGGCATTCTTGGCGCAGCGACTGGAAAGACGCACCACTTCGCCGTCAAGTCTCGCGACGAGCGCATCGACTGGATGCGTGAGCTTATGCTCGCTAAAGCAAGACAGCAGAAGGCTGATGGGTGCGAGATCAACGTCAATGGCAGTATGATCTAGCCAGCCCTCACCCTGGACTTCACACTCCTTCGTTTAAGCTTTAAGGGCGGATCATTCATCATTTCCTGTCATATATTTCTCAGGTCGGGGTGGAATTGTGCATAGCGAGTCACTTACTGGGAGGCAGCTTTTTTTCCTGGGAGGCATAGCGTGAACCTAAAGGTCGATATGATAATGTTTCCGATTGTCAATGTCTACCATTGAATGAGCGCTCCGGATACGCCCCTCACGACACCCTCTCAACATACTTCATAGCTAGGTAGTTAGATGCAATGAAACAACATCTTACCACCTCTACGAAGATTGCGAAGGTGACTGCATCATCAAAGGGAAAGCAAAGATCTGTAGGACGGCAAGAAGATACTTAGCTAGCTCGGCTCCTTTGTTTGTTGGCCAGACCATAGAACTAGCGTGTCTGCTGTCCAGATCGATAGGCACTACCTCCGCTGCAACGGTGGCACATCACATGTGTTTTAATCATTTCCTTCGATCGGGTCTGGCCTGATGGTTGGTGTCGGCGGTGGGGCTTCGAGCGCGAAAAATGGCCTTCGAAAGGGCGACGCGGCTATCAACGAACCGGACGACGGATCTGGAGGCGTGATCTGATACGATTTCGGGAAAGCGATTCATGAAGGTCGATCCGGGCGAACAGGACCGTCGAACGACCTGCTCATTGCGGTACACCACCCGTAGGCTTGACAACAGATCATTGAGACCTCCTGGTTATTCTAAGCCGTGGTCGATCCTCAATGGATGAGAGAGATCCGTATCATACACGTCTGATTACTGGACAATGAGTGTAGAGGCCATGGGAATAGTGGAAAGGTATTACACGCCATGCTGTATTACTCTCATACCCGTAGAGATCACGCAAAACATCCACAGTTTCTAGTGATCTCTTTTCAGCTGGTACCCGTTGGTATATCTTCTCCGCCTCGACCATTTTGCCCTGATGTTTGCAGAGAGCGCTCAATTTGTTGACGATCTTGAGTGTGGATTTATCTCCATGCTTTCTCATATCCATCCAGTGCCCGTTGATACATCTTCTCGGCCGCTGCCAGCTTGTCTTGATCAGCGTAGAGATCGCCTAGATTCTGGAAAGTACCATTAGATCCAGAATATCTAGCCCGGAGTATCTGATTTTCGGGGACATCCGATATCGTATACATCGGTCGGCATGGCGAAACAGTCGCTGCTGTGTGAGCCAGTATACCGTTTCTGAATGACTGGGCGCCGCAAATCCGACGATAATAGAAGCCACTATGTTGATATCCACCTGGTCGCGACTAATCGACTCCGTGCACCAGTCGTGAACCCCCGGATGGATCGAGTGGCACTCGATACTCTTACGCGACTCAGAACACTCTCGGGACCAGCTATTACGGATTCATAAAATATTCTTGTAGGCTCTTAGACTCTCACGTCACATGCGCAGAACCCACGCTATAGTGACGCTTGCGTGAAATGAAGAGTCCCAAGTCAGGGCCATTCCTGCGAATGGTATTTCGGAGTGGCTAATCATTGATCCGAGTCGAGTTGTTAATGCTATTGCAAACGAGGCGAAGAACGATATGGTTCGCGTTGCGCATTCATCATCGCAAAGGCCGCAAGGTGAATTTGCCTTTGAAGATATCGCATCCTGGAGCTTGATTCTGTTGAGCTCTCTATGGCCCTCGTGTTACACTTTGCTTTATTCGGAAAGCCTGTGACACAATGCCTCTGTCCAACCGCCATGGAGACCGCCAAGCAAAGCATGGCCCGCCTTCATGAGAGCTCAATCGCTGTATACGAACAATAGCTACCATGGATTCTTTACTGTGGGGCGATGTCAGCCGCAAGGAGTTGACGGAGAATATCACTCTACTTTGGTTGTTGAACGAGGAGCCTGAACAGCCAGCGGAAAATCCTCTGCCACAACACCTTCTGAAAGAAGCGGGGTCGGCCTCCAGGCAATTAACCATTGAACGTGAACGTGACCTTGTGGACAGCTTAGCTTTCCTGTCGGCCTCGAGTGATGATCCTCGAAAGGTGATGGCGGTCTGTATGGAAGAAAATCAGGACACAGAGAGTTTGACCATCAGAATGGCCACAAACGCAGGTGATCTAGAACCGGTAAAAGAGGGATTCTTAAGAATGGCTACTATATTAGAGCGAGCGGCGGCCAAAGGTGGAGTGCTCCAGCTTCTTGACAACGTCCTAAACTGACTTCTGATATAACAGACAACACAGATGAGAACAGCAGCGCACTTTTTGAAGAGATGATCGCCCTTAATCGCGGCAGAATATATTCTCGACTGAGGTCTAGGCATGCAAAACGATCTAGAAGAAATCATAATAAGCCTCCAATTGTCGTTCAATTAGCCAAGGCCGCCTCGGCATTATCGCCGCTCACCACGACACGACTCGTCCCAAGGGTTGATCTCAAGACTCTCCACTCACAGGTGGAGGAGCTGCAGCGCTTGTTCAGGCAACTGGAAGCTATGACGGAGAAACAAGCGACATCGCAGAAAAGCCACAAGATTCTCATAAGTCTACTGAAGTGTGCTCATTCGCTTGCTTCACAGAACGACCTCAGGAAGCTCTTTGTGAAGGCGAGTTTACCGTTAGCTATTGGCAAACTCGGGCGTTACTATTCCACGTGCAGCTTTCTCATTGTCGCCGCGCGGAGATTATCGATTTTCAGATCCGTCCGAGTGGAGAGCGTTAGGCTACCATTGCCAGCTTCGCCGCCAATATCGATCGCCCAATCTAAATCTACTCTCCCTGGCACCTTAGATCGAATCCTTGAGCCGCAAACGGAGAGATGGACACAAAGATGGGCTAGTTCAATTGCTCCAGCGGAGGCCAAGTTTTGCAGGCAGATGGCCGCATCTCCCAAAACTTACAAGATTCATGCTGAGATTCAACTCCTTTTTTACTACGAAATGCACCCTGAAATCATGCGGCCTAGAGTAATCTGCTCCAGCAAGAGCGCGTGCTTTCTTTGCGACCTGTTCGTTAAGATTCATGCAAAATTCTACGTAGCGAGAACCCATGGAGTACTTTACGACAGATGGATACTACCGGATCAGGGAACCATTCATCTCTTTGGGAAGGGCGTCAAAGACATGACCAGGGTTGTGGAACGATTCAAAGCAACTCTTGAAGACAGAATTAGATTGACTCTACCGCTGCTTAGGATGCCACGCTTCCACCCGAACGAAAGCGTATTAGTAGAGCCCGCTATTTGGACTCCGTCGGCCGTTTCTCTGGCTTCCAACACCGCTTCACAAGTCATCTCAGCAATGCTTAACTCAGAGGCATGTCTCAAAAACCAACCAGACACGATGGGTGACATCGAAGCATTCAGGAGTGGTCCAACCACTTCCACGAACGCAGATCTGGCTGCCGTTGGAAGATGCTGGAGCTCAACCGATCGGACGTTGTCCGGGCCAAAGCTAGGAAACGGCGGGTGCTCTGATCTTTTGACTTCTGCGTCAAGCATAGATATGCCGGCAAGGGATCCCGAGGGTTCGTTGGAGCCCAGAGGCCGACAAGATGGAATCATCAATAGTGATATCAGGCAGGCAAGCCCTACGTCACCATACCTCTTTGATAGGCCAACATACGTATCTTCCAAGTCACCCAGATCCATCCCTCGGGATGGATCTGTATCCAAACTTCCCGTAGGAGACAAAGCACAGTGGGACTTCACCGATCACAATAACCCAAGATCTAGTGCATCCGTTCAAAGCTTAGACCTTTCGAGGCCAATAATGTATCCTGACGCTGTCGCACCAAAGTACGAGCCTCTTACTCAAGGAACGTGGATTGAAAGAGAATTGCCAACAGGTGGACCACCCGTGAAACTAAGCACAAAACTCATCCATATCACTCTGTCCAGGGACTGGGCTGGGATGACTCACAAATCAGCTACTACAGAAGGCCAACAGAATTTACAGGAAAGCTTGGGATCGGAAGGGGTTTATCTGGTGAAGGTCAAATGGCTGGGACCTGAAGAAGAACCTAAAAGAAGCAGCGAGCAAAGGACGAACATTGTAGATCTGGATGAGATGGATGAGACTCTAGAGGAGACGTTGAGCCACGGAGCAGCGAGTTCATCTACGGAACTGTACATTTATCGTCGGAATGACATGATTGCCATCAAATTCATCCTGAAAGAATAGGACATGGCCCTTTTGGAGCTGGCTTAATGCCGTCAATACCGCGATTTGAATATCAGCAGCGTGATTCAATTTCTATTGGTGCGAGGCCAACAATTATCGTCGACGCCTTAAATCGTCGAATCTCGCATGTCAATCCAACCGGAAACTGGTTTCGTCGCGATCATGACTGAAGTATGTATCCGGCGGCGCTCGTGCTGGACTCCTTGAGGTTACGCGTCTACTTCGTCCTTACTGCTGGAGAGCAAAGAACTGCCTTCGGTTCCCAGCCTCGCCAATCCTTAACGTGAAGAGTTTTGACAAACGGGAGCAGAGATCACGGTAAGCAGCTGGTGAAAGAGCGAGCGGCCGGCACGCCTCTGCATTGTCGGATAGTCGCTGTCGACGTTACCTGGATACAGAGCGTAAGACGTATAAGGCATGGAATTAAAGATGAGCAGGGTATGACGATAACCTGAATCTTTCTGAGCTGGGAAATCTAGAAAGGAAATCCCAGGTAATTGGATGCGGCAAGAAGAGGATTGTATCATCCACTGGGATCTCTGGCTTGCAAACCTGGTTCCTTTCCACTCTCTCCCAAGGATAACCGATCGCCGGACTCCAGCGATTCGGTTCATATCAGTTGGTATATGCTGAAGCAGACGAAGCGTTACCGGAATCATCAGAACTTTCCATGTGCTTCCAGGCCGAGCGACGACCAAATTCCTGACGGTCCTTCACGAGTACTTCATGCTCGACCACCTTTGACCCAACTCTAAGATCGATAACTTTTACTCTCCAACGATACACATAAAGTCAATCTCATTATAATATGTATACATTGGCAGTCTCCCAAAATCATTCCGGGAGCACTAGGAGGTCTTGTCATAGTCAGGTATCAAGTCATACCTGCAGACGGTGTCATTCATCATGATCTGCTATCACCAAGGATAGTGCAGCAAAGCGCCAGACCCCTCCTTAACCCAAGGCTGAATGCTGCCGTAACGCCAAAAGGCAGTATCATACAATTAATACATTTACTGAGCATCTACAAGTCAGTGATTTGGCTCATCTGGAGGCTTTGGCTCAGGAGCTCCATCTCTCACTGGCCATCGCGGCTGGTCGAGAGGACTGGGTTCCACCTTCGATGGTGGGAGTTCTGGTGGTGGATTTGCGAGTGGCGACCTTTCATGATCGGGTGAAGGCAGCTCCTTGTCATGGATAATGGCACCTCCTTTGACATCGTGGTTATCGGGTAGATCCTGCGTCCAGTCAGTCAAGCATTCTGAACGTCACTAAGCAGAGATTCTACCTCTGCTTCATCTTCTGCACTGCTCAAACCACGCTCAAGCGCCAATCTCTGAGCTGCTTGCCGTCTCTGCTCCACCTCAGCCTCCTCCTGCAGTCGGACACGCTCCTCTTCGTGCTTCAGATCACTTATCGACAGTACATCTTCTTCTGCCGTCTCTATCAGATGGCGATTTCTCCCACTGGAAGTCGACGTTCCCCTCCTTTCCTTTCTCACACTCCTCGTGTCCTTCGACGACCCCGTCTTCGTCGAGGCCCTGGACCCAGACGGTCTCTTCCCCCTTGCCCTTCCACTACTGTGATCATCAGACGTAGTCCCCGTAGTCCGCCGCTCCAACACCATCGCAAACTCGTCATCCAACGGCACGGCATCATCCTCATCATCGCTCGGGAACAGATCACCCCTCGAACTTAACGAGTTGGTCGTACTCCTACTCCCCACCGTCCCACTCCTACTCCTCGTATGGCCTCTCCCTTCCCGCTCTTCCCCCTCCTCAATCAACGGCTCCGCTTCCACACCCCTCCTCCCAATATTCTCCTGCAGATTCGCAACATTAGGTTTGTATCGCACCCCCCTCCCCCCAATCTTCCACGGCAATCTCTTTAAGAACCCAAACATACTGCTCTTGGGCAACATATTAACATCATCCTCCCCCTCCCCACCTTTCCTCCTGCCAACCCCGCGACTCCCATAACTCATCCCCCCATGCTTCCCCGGCTGTGCCGTATCATCCCCATTCAGCAACCGATCCAGCTCATCGTTCCCCCACTCACTCTCATCCTGCTCCCAATCGTCATAGAAATCAAACGCGAGGTTCTCCCTCCCGCGCCCCCGTCGGCTGTGCTGAGATTGGCGCTGGCGCTTCTGGCGGAGGTCGTCGCGGACCGCGAAGCAGGGCTGGCAGGACGCTTCGAGGCAGGTGCTCAGAGAGGCGAGGCAGGGGGAGATGTAGTGTTCGGAGAAAGTGAAGAGGGAGGCTTGGGTCGTAAGGTTGGCGGACTCGATGTTCTGGGAGATGTGGTTGAGGGTTTGGCGGATGCGGGGGTCGGAGGGGCGCATTATCTTGGGCTCGGAGGGCTGTGACTAGTTCATTCATGTGAAGGAAGGATTCAGGCGATCAGATCGCAGGGATTGCTTGACATTGTTCGGTATGTTGAAGGGTTGCTTTCTTCGTTGCGATGGTCAGGCTGTTCAGCTGATGCTTCGATGGCCAAAATGGAGCGGAATCGGCAGGTTTGCCGGGTGATCGTCAGCCCTATCAAAATGGGTCGCACTCTGAACCTTCACATGTTGGACGTTGTATCAGCGCATCGACCCGGAAATATCTGTTATTCATGACTAGAATCATTCAAAGAAGAGCATGGAAGACTTCATGGCTGACGATGCTCTGTTCGATCTTTTGAGGATTCGCATCACCTCGACTGCCACCTGTTCTGGCAGCTTGCCTGCGTACTGGGAGCATTGATGAGCATTCCACTATCAGCAATGCTTGTTGCGCAGACGAATGCCGATAGATTTTGATGCCTGAATGTGTTGCTACCATGATTTGCACAGTGCAGTAAAAGTGTACATTCTATTGGTCAAGTGGACTGATTTCCACTGACGATCAAAACCATGGCAATCGTTCTTCTCTGATTTACAATTTTTTGACGTGTCCGAAATATCCTCGCTCGTTTTTCACAACTGGATCTCATCTGTTGCAATTTTCATTATATACACAAATTGAAAAGAGACCTATTCACAGACCAAAGAGTACAGATAGAATGAATATTAATGCTTTTAGTGTTTCCGTTCGACTTATAGAAGAACTTGCGGTGCCAGTCTTCTGGGGACCCACAATTGCACCGCTCGAAGACGCTTCCGAATTCGTTGCCGAAGATTCTGTGCTTGCCAGAACGGCGCTTGAGCTAGAAAGACCAGCAACCGATGTTGTCGTTCCAGTAGCAGTCGGACTTGTGGCACTTGAGCCCGCTGTGCTCATAGCGTCCGCTGAACCATCCATTGAGCCGCGAAACGAAGGGGAAAGCAGGTCAGAAGTAATCGCAGGTATTGATGCCGACACAGCTGCCATGTCCACCATGGATGAAGTCATTGCTGAAATCGTTGCTAGATTGACGGAGCCTGCCGTAATTTCCACCAGATAGGTGGGGAACGCGTCTGGCGACTCCGATGGGTAGAAAGAGGTGCTGGTGCCAGCAGAGCTGTAGCCTGGAGATGTCGACGTGACGAGACAAGTCGCGGTCGGTATCGATGGTGTAAACTCACACTTCCATACTGTTGTGATTCTAATTTTGTTGTCATCAGCGACTAAATCAGTACTTGAACCTTTAGATATTGAGTACATTCGCAGGAAGAGGCTAACGTACGGCTGATCTGCTTCTGTGAAGATGGCGGTCGAAGGACCTTGGATCACTGTGACTGGCCCGCAGGATTTATCAGTGGCGCAGTCGAACACGAAGGTGGTTGCCGACGCATCCTATCCGAGAACATGTCGGGTTAGCCAGATTTGGCCGTATACAGCGTGACGCACAAAGCAAAACTGCTCACATTGTCAACGACAGATGCCGAAAAAGAGTTCAAAGGGTACTCCACAGGGACGAACAGCGAGGTTGTAGATTGGCCTGTGGTCCGAATCGCAGCGTAAAGAAGCAGGCTGATAAGGTGGAGCAAAGACAGGGAAGACTGCATCTTTGTAGGGTCGATGAGGTTTTTCTATCTTTCTTCTTTCTCTCTCTCTTTCTTTCTTTCTTTCTTTCTTTCTTTGTATTAGGGAAATAGTGGAAGAAATTCTTTAACTTTAACGTCTCTTTCCAAGATTTGAGTTCGAGTTGGCCCTAACTTCGTATTCGAGGCCTGTCTTTAGAAGATGGGGGCACGCCAGGACTCTCGAAAAGCATAAGGCTATCATCGTCAGCCAGCACCTTGACTTTTCTGATCTTACTTTGATTGGACTGCTTAGAGAACTGACATAGAGTACCAGAGAATTTGATACGCTGACCCTTTCTGATCTTACTTTGATTGGACTGCTTAGAGAACTGACATAGAGTACCAGAGAATTTGATACGCTGACCCTTTCTGAAAAGCCGAAATGGGCGGGAACATCAAAATCATGTGCGAACTCGATGGTCTAGACAACGAAGTGCCCGAAGTGGACAGTTAACCGAAGATGGAGATTCAAGGGATTGATGTCTACCTATCAGCATTCAGCGAATCAAAGGCCGAAATCGAAGGTAGCAACGTGAGTACAGTGATGGAAAGAAATGCTCTTCTCGCGGCTCATGCAGCTGAGAATTAGTTGATATTTGGTACAGGAAAAAGGTCCCAGAATCTATTAATCTTCGGCCCTTGCCAGCAGGACCAGAACGGATCAAAACCCAAGCCTAATAGTACAAACACATGAAAAGACCTAGAACAGATTCCCCCGGCTCGCAATACCATCGACTGGGAACGCGTTCGCATCAGCTCCAGCATTCGCCTCCCTCGGCATAACCGCATCAACCTCGGGCGACCACAGCATCGTACAACTGCAGTTAACCGGCCTATACCCCTCCGGATGCTCAATCGTATGCTCCGGCATTGGTGGCGTTTTCCGCTCTTCGACCCTCTCCCTAATAGCAACCTGCATAGCAGACGATGCATCCGGGAGCTCCGGCGTCTTCGGCCCTTCCACCCACTCCCTCGTGGCGAGATGCGCCGCGGTGGCAACATTAACCGGCGGAGGCGGCGCATCCGCGAGATGTCGAGCTTGCAGATCTCCAAACGTGACACTGCCGGTCGTCGGGGACGCACCGGCCGCGGCTTGCAGTCGGGGTGTCGAGCTAGCGCTGACGCACGAGGTCAGTTCTTCAAGCCTGACCAGCAGCCCCATGGCTTTTGCCTCGAGACCCGAGACCTGGTTCTCCAACGCCGTGACGCGCTCCAGCGTGGCTTCCGAACCGGCCTCCGCGGCCGCGGGTGGCTGGACCCGCGTGTCGGATTTCCCCGTCACGGCTGAGGCGGGATCGAGACTTGGGGCTGCTCCCCCGCGCACGCTCCTCGTCCCGGACATGGGATTGCCGGGAAAGGGTGTCGTTCCGGAAGCGAGCGCGCCGGTGACGAGTGTACCAGACATCATCGTATCAGCCGTACTCGCAGCCTCGCCGCCCGGAGCATATATGTTCCCCATTCTATCAATCGGTTAGCGACAAGCTTTCATCCATTCGTCGGGCGGGGGACACTTACATCTTCCTCCGCTTCCTCCTCTCCGGCACCGATGAAGCCTCCTGCCCCGGTAAATGGCAAAACTCCCTCTTCTTATCCTTACTCGTACAGTACGCGCATTTGCTAAACGTCCCCTCCCAACGATAACAATCTTGCTCGAGTTCCACACAAGCAGTGCAAGGGTGGTCGCTGATATCGCCTTGGTCGACGATATGGCGTGCGCGGACGACGGGCTTCGTTTCTGAACGAGCGTATTTCGGATAATCCTCGTGGGTTTTGATGGGTTCCATGTGCAAATTGAAGGTCGTTTGCATTTGCTGCATGGTGGGCATTCTTTTTTCGTGGGCCTGGTCAGGAAAGTATGATATTGAAGGTTTAGTGATGTGTGCTGTGGAGACGGTGGAATGCGCACAAGGTTGGCGAAAAAATAGGAGCGCGTGGCACTTTTTCATCTTCTGGGAACAAAGACAATACAACGACATTCCTCTTGAGGCCAACCCGGTGAAGTAGAGACAAGGGATGGACAATGTGAGCATCGAAGATAAAGGACTTGGCTTTGTGCTCTCGTGATGTGTCGATTTTCATTCAAGGATTCAAGGAAACCAAGTACAGGCACGTGCTTTCCGCGCCACGAGGCGGCCACATTGAAAAACAATCGTACTTGTAGGCTTTGTTACAAAGACGACAAAGTATCTTAGGAAAAGCTGACTTGTTCCAGGCTGAATATAGATCATACTCGAAGTAACAACAAGGAGAAGAAACGTAGTATGCGGTAACGTCGAACGACAACGCTTTGACGTAACAAGCAGGCTTTCAGTGAATACATCCTTATTCAGAGACATCAATCCCACACGCGTCATTGGGCAAGCTTCAATCCAATCGTAGTAATGGTGTGAAGTGGTGTGTGTATTTCGGCAAGCACCAATGCAATGACGTGACCTCCAACACTACCGACTCGCACAACCCGCTTGGTACTCGGGCCCGCAAGTTGCACCTGTCTCCTTTCTTCTTCTCCTTCTTTCAATCTTTTCGAATATGGGTATCGGCGTAAATTTTCGGGGCTCAGAGCCTTGCCAATATTGCTACTTTATCACCAAACGCCACTCACAGAGAAGAGATTCGCACATTGACCATTTGCTTCATCCGAGACTTTACAGAAACGGCCTATCAAAAGCTTTGGGCGGACACCGTGGCAGGCTGTCAAGCATTAGAATGTTTGCCATCTTGACCATGCGTGGTAGCAGCACTTACCGGACTGTTCAGCATATTCTGCCTCTTATTTCGACCTTTCTTGATATGGCTCTTCAAAGCACTTGAGTCGAGCGGCTTCAGGAGTTCGAAGCTGCACAGCAGCTCGCTAGACACTGACATGACCGCCCCCCAATTATCGAACTCGCCGCAGTACTGATAGCCATCAGCCTCGTGCTAGAAACTCACAGACATCATGGGGACTTACGTTAGGCGCCGAGAACACAGTGACCAGGATGCGATCATTGAAGAATTCATAGCCATCCTCCACCACCATGTGCGCCCTGCAAACAAGATCGAAGTCATGCCGCTGCAAGAATTCCATAATTACTTTCTTCCCGAAACAATAGCTCACACCTCTCTCGTTAGCTTCCCAATCAGACTCCATGTCAGCAGGATCACTCCAAAGCAGGTCATTGAGCAGGCCGTAGTCCGGTACATCCGTAGGTCTGGCGATTTGCCGGATGTCGTCCATGTGCGTCAAGCTCGGCGAAAGGCCTCCATGAACACAGAAGATCTTCCCTGCAACAATAGCGGCAATTGGAAGACAATTAAATGTGTCAACAAAGGTCTTCCAGACCTTGATGTTGCACCTGCGCTTGCACTCGTCGTAGAAGCCGTACACTCTCGTCACGTTGGCGCACTCATGGTTGCCTCGGAGCAAGAAAAAGTTCTCTGGGAATTTCAACTTGTAGCAGAAAAGAAGGAGAATTGTTTCTAGACTCTGTTTCCCTCGGTCCACGTAGTCACCAAGGAACAAGAAGTTGGCGTTTGGGGGAAACCCGCACATTTCGAACATCCTAATCAGATCGGTATACTGCCCATGCACATCGCCTACGATTTTGACTGGGGCCGAAAGCTCAACCAGGGCAGGCTGTGACAAAAACACTTCGCGCACAGCGTTACAGATTGCTGTGATCTCAGCATTCTTGAGACATACGGCTTTAGTGACCTTTGTAGAGTAGCCCGCATCCAGCAACCTGGTAATCATTTCATCTAGATCAATCGACTTCAGAGCCCCGATACCCATCCGCGGAGAGGTGGAGATGATCGCTCCATCGTCTGTAGCCCCGAGATATGGCGACGCGGGGGCCTTTGGAGCCTTTCCTGGCATGGGATTGGTGACGTTCTTCTTCACTAGTATAGACTCCTTAGGCTGCTGGTTATGCGACGGATGCAAGGTGCCTGTAGGCGGCCCGTCCGAGACATGGTCCACCTCGCCTTGCTGTTGTGCCCTACTGATAGCTTTATGTCCTTTGCCAACGGACGCGGAAAGGGTTGGCGATGGCGGCGGCTGGGGTGTCTCCAGTCGTGGGCTTGGGGCTGCTGAGTCGCCATCGACTGTAGGAGGCACTGGATCTAGTTCAGGCTTCGAGCTTCCAGATTTTCCACTGGCGCCAGATTTGCTTGATCCTCTTGTGTCGGCCCTCTCTAGATTGCCACTTGTTGCATCTGCTTGAGAAAACGAGCTCCTTGGACTGTCCGATTTCTGAGCTCCTGGAATCTTTGATCGCAGGCCGCGAAATGATCGGGAGGATTCTTTGGTGTCCGACTTGCTGAAAGAGGGATAAGCTTGAAGGCCTTCGCTGGATTTGTCTAGAGATGTTGAAGAAGCATTCTTAGGCGTTCTTGTGCCGTCGCTTGCTTTCGAGGGCTGCTGGCCCATCTTTCTCTTTTCACTTTTAACTACTTACTCTCCCCCAATCGAGTGTTGATGGGTAGCACGTGCGGCTGGAGAAATCTTTTGGAGGTTGGTTGTCCTTCAGAATACAACCAAGGTCTCTTCCTTCACTCCGTGTTTTCACACCTCGGTATTTTGATTTGTAGGCCAATCCTAGGCTTATCTTTTGCTTTCCTTGCGCAATGCGACTGGTAGTTATTGGCAGGGCTCAGGCCGTGTTACGGGGGCTTGAATAAGGCGAAGAGAAGACACAGAGATCTAGGTTCAGCAATGGACCATAAGGCTCTTGTGTGAAGTTTCGCGATTCTGCCAGCCTCGTTGGAGAATGGATGAAGCGTCTTGTGATAATCCAGCTCGGTGGCCGCGCAATGCGGAATGCAGTGGACAAGCTGTGTACAGCGGATAAGTCAGCTGTGTGTAGTAAAAATGGATGAGAGATGGTTGGAAAATCAAGTGCGAGCCATGTAATGCACTTGGTGAGGTATGTCTGGCCTTTTTGCAGGAGCAGGAACAATGAAAGATTAGTTAGTTGCTCGAAGTGCCCCTCACTAAGCAGGGCAGTGCCTGCAGCCTGAAGTACATGAGATAGAGTACGTACCTCAACTACTTGCAAGTCAAGCCGGTTGGTGATCAAGGAGACGACAGCGCTTTCGTGTAATGTTGCAGAAGGTAATGTTGTTGCAGAGGCCGAAAAGAGGGAGGTGGTTGATAAAGTCATCGCCTGAAAATTAAGCTTTTGGGAAGCGGCCAACGACTTCTCCACAGATGCCGGTGACAGGATAATCAGTAACCGTAATGCGGTCTAGGTCCTTCTCTTTTTTCCCTCTTTCTTTCGTTTTCTTACAGGCTCATGGCATTAGGCATGAGGCGTCAGACTACAGCGCTTGGCGAGACGAACAGTTCGACTACATGTAGGTTTGGATTTGTGTCGGAAGAATAGATTCAGCTTCCTACCTATGCTTGCGGTCAAAGAGAACTACAAAGCCATAGATGAAGGACATAGAAGTGTGCCTCTAAGCCACGACAAGGGTGATTCTGAATACAGCCAATGAGAATCTGGATGGCGTGACACTGTGTACTACCTCGTCACTAGCCAATGCATTAGGTTTGGAATGGCATTATGCACAAGACTGAATGTTGGAACCTCAGTGATACAGTCATGCTGACCAGGAGGACCCTTGTGTGACAGACGGCCTTCAGGTCCTGCACTTCCACGCATCTGTTGATAACCTTACTGACACTGGAGGGATCTCCGGAATCTGGTGATGGAATGACCTGTGCATTCGGAGGTGGCATGTCTCATGTCGATAGATAAATATTAATCTGTTCAGGGACCATCCACCTCAATCTTTGTAATGTACTGGCCTGGCACCACGATAAGCCCGACAAAGCGGCTTGTCATATCTACCTTCAAGGTCGCTGTAGAGGATGTTCCGGAAGATGATTCGGCTGCGGCTTTTACAGCGTTTGGAGTGGGTTCGCGGTACTCGTAGGATTGAGTCAGGATGATGTTGCACTCCTGAGACACGTTAGCTGCCGATACGATGGCCTGTAGATAGGGTGACTCGCGTTGTCGGTGCACTTGAAGTCCCCATTAAACATCCGGGAATCACTGGTATAAACGCACAGCTTCTTGTTCAGCAAAGTCTGTAAATACTCGGTAGCTTCTGTGTTGTCCATGCTCGACGCGTTTCGAGGCTATTCCTGCCTGATGTCTCAGTCGCGTGTCTCGGGACTTTTAATTGAGGCTCTGCGGATTGCTTGGGATCGAAGGCGCATCAAGCTAGTTGTGGCGGCTGCAGCTTCCTGTAACCATCCATCTCACGAAGATGGCCACTCCATGTTGAGCAAGTCCTGGAGGATTTGTGTAAGCAGCAGCTTCTGATGGAGATTTGCTTGAGGACTGCAGGGTGAAAAGAGCACTGCGCTGGGCATGGCGACGACAATGTGTGGGTCACTAGCGCCTCGTATAAAATCTGTCCTTCTCGCGGAGATGCAACTAATTTACCAAACAACCTCCGCATCAAGGTGCGCTCCTCGTTCCGTGATACTATCGATGAGTTTGTTGGGCTCAGAGCCTTGCCTTCCGTTTGAGTGCTTGTCTTCTTGCTATGCAGCCTTGTTTTTTCTCTCAAAAAACGTCTGTTGTGCAATCTGACCCCAGAGACACGTAGGTTTCCGCCTCGTATTGCTTGTATAAGCTGTTACGTGTTCTGCTTGTAATGTCCTAGATTAAATTTCTTATTGAGGGAACAACTTCTTGAGTGTTGGTAGTTCCTATCAGGTATGGCTAGCCTTATCAAATTCTTGCAGTCAAGTCTCGCATTGCCCCTGTCAGGCCACGCTTGAATTTGAAAATATCAAAAAATGAAAGCAACGCAATAAGAACGCTCATTCGAGAATGGTTGATTTTCTTCTCGAAAGCCAATCCAAAGGGTACAGATTGCCGGCAGTGAGCACGGCTTCTAGTTCAGAATCACGTTGGCCTTGCTTTCTCCGGATCAAAGCGTGCTTCTGTGATGACCTTCAATATCCAGCTTGCTGTAAGGTCATTGCCCGGGCTTCTCCTTTTATGCTTGTACTCCGATTCGCAAGAATGGATATGGACTTTGTCCAGCCCGTAAGCTCAGAAAGAGAGCACGAGTCATGGCCACGGAACCCTGCCTTCTGGTTCATGGTTAGAGCAAAGAATGTGAATGAGCATGGTCCCACGGACTTTGGTCCGAATGACTATGAAAGCGATCGAGTAGTCCCTTGCTAGTGCGTCACTGCCTAAGCCCTCTTTTTGCATCATCACATAGACCTTACCTCACCTCGTCCGTTCTTATTAAATCCTCCAACCAATATTCTTCCGGCCACATTCTCTTCAGACTATAACGCTCGAATATCCACACTTTGCTATAACCAGAACCGAGTCTCTTGCTTACGAAATCCCTTCCGATGGACGTGGACTCAAACGTTCCGGTCAAAGTTGAGGCCGATGACGAAGACCTACCATCAACTTTGAAACCTGCCTCAAGAGCCTTGAGCGATGGCTCTCGTGACGAAACCCCAACCCCCACGTACAAACATAGTTGGACGCTCGAACAGCGACTTACGCTGGCTATGCTCGCTGAGTCATACAGCAATAACTGGAACGAGAAAACTTCCGTCTTCAACCATTTTCACAGGTCTGATCTTCGACGTTGTGGAGGTCTTCGAAGGCCAGTCATCAATACCCAATTTAATGATATGCGAAAAAAGGGATTCAATGCAGGCAATGGTTTCAAGAAATTACAGAGTACCCTGTCACCCTATGATAGAGCAAAGATGGTGTCCCGAGCTGGACTTGAAAAAAAGGCCCATGAAATCGGCATTCTCCTCCACGCAAAGGAGGCTAGTGATAGCTCCTTGATGTCCGACAAGGACAACGCTCAAGGGCACAAGAGAAAACGTACCGACTCAATTGACGATGCCAGGACCGACTTCTTTCCACATCTATCTGACAACGATTGTCAGACAGCCTCATATGCAAAGACAGTACATGGGCTCACCCTTCTTCCGAAGACACCCACGAAATCCAACGGCAGACAAAAAGGCAATGGCCTTCTGACCCCACCGGATTCAAGAGAGGCTAAAATGCCACGTCTCACCACCGAGAAGAGGTTGGCACAAATCGGCTTCCGCGCTTTTACTGGCCAATCGCAAGGCACGTACTCCTCGGTCTTGGGAATTCGTGGTGAGTTACTGGTTATCTTATCGAACGTAATCTACTTCATGAACTAAAGCATTCAGCCGGCGCTTTTCTCAATTGCCCAACCATTCCACTCGCTCGAAACCTGGAAGTCACACTTTACCGTGGGGAAGCACTGTAATGAGTCCCTTCCCATCTCAAAGTACACAACCTGACTCCAAAAATCTGAAGGCATCACATCACGAAGCACGATCATTCTCGACCCAGCAAGTTTGTCTCCGCGACCAAGAACCCGATGCGTGCATTGCATATGTATGTCTTCATTTCGGAGCGATTCCTTCCTGATCTGTACCCCAATAGACACTTTTCGACGGTATTGTACTCATTGTTAAGCAGGGCCCTCAGAGGCGGTGAGGACGCCTCAATCGCAGTCATTGATCTTACCAAGGCAGATGAAAGAGGCAATGTCGAGAAGGCTCATAATTTGAAGCTTAAGACGGATTTCAGATACACAGGAGCGGGCGAATACCTCATATTCGGCGGGGTGGACAACGAAGTAGGCCTTCTGTCACTATCTGCAGAATTAGCTAACAAGTACAAGGCCATAATATCACATATCCCACTATCTAGGCTTCTTGTCAATATGCCAACGACGCCCGGAAGCGATGATCCTTTCTTCTTAAAAGTGCTTCAAAGCCACGAAAGGCTGTTGCATGCTCGCCGCGCAATAGAAAAGGAAGTTCTTCCGATGACATACTCTCTGGGTAGAGCTGTAGGAGAGTTGGTGGGGATTTTATGCATTCCCCCGAAGCATTTTGAGAGCGGTGCGCACCAAGTTTCTTGCCACGAATGATCAATGCTGACTTGTACGTAGGTGTTTGGAGCATTACACAGGATTACAAGTTTTACAACGCCGAGGGTGGCAGAAAACGAGGGCAGTGGAACCAGAATGTGGCTTTCAAAAATGGTGCGGTACAAGGGTACTATGCTGTTCGATCCGGCACGCTTGGTGCACTGACGAGTCTCGACATCGAGAACGACATCAGCTCAGGCAGGGAGATCATTGAGATTGACGAGTCCGCATCGGATCAGACTACAGACTCAGAATCAAGTTCTAGCGACAAAGATGATCCAATACCGGCGGAGGTAGAAGACTGGGTTCGAGATACGCAGGCAAAGCAAACACCCCTACAGTATTTTGATCTCGAGACAAACAAATGGACGACCCAAGAGGAAGACTTGAGCGATGACTTCTTTGCAGAGCTAAGGGACATCGCTGGCAATGTGGTCAACAATGGCTCGAAGATTGACGGTGATAATTTGGTGGAAAACGTCGCGGGCATCTCTCAGAGTGAACATCAACGTAGGGACATGGCTGTTGATCCAGGTTTTGGCTGGTTAGAAATGGACACCAACGCAGTGAACGAGAAGTCCATGGTCGTACCTGCGACCAATCATTCCGAGGAATTCAAGAATCTTAATGACCTAGTGGCGGATGTAATGCACATGCATGGGGACGAAGCCATCAGAGGACACAACAAGGTCATCGACTACGAGTTCTCCTGGACGGGGATGTAGTCGTATCCATCTTGACTGCAGAGCCAGTGTAATGGATGCGGAAGATTTTGTAAGAGCAGGACGACCCTCGTTAGTGGAGGAAGGAACTTCAGATGTACTACGAGATCAGAGGGAGGATGGCTTGCGATGGTTTGCATGCGATGAGTCGGTCTCTTGTGAAATATCTTACCAGATAGTCCAGTGTGGGACAGCGAGAGTGGCCCTAAATAGAGCGAAGCATGCGTTCAAGACTTCGTTTCCTCGCGAGTGTTGCTTGAATTGATATGAACGTATCCAGGATTACTCCCTTTTGAGAGGGTTCGACTTAGGCAACAAGTCACGTAGGCACCAAACATGAGCGTTATTGGGATTGGCTTTCTTCCTTACTAGGCCTCAAACTAGAGCAAGACGCCTCGTACCAGATCGTTTGAACTACTATGCAAGCCTTCAACCCTTCATCGCCTCACCATCTAGAACTTTTGGAAACCTTTCACAGCCTTTCCAGTACGGGGTAACACCCGGAGAACATTGAATCGGACCTGCAGCACAAGCATCAGCACACATATTTAGACAGACTCTGCCACGGCCGCCAAGCGTATTTCCCTGCACATACCGTCTTGCTCAAAGGCCTGCATTGCCCAACCGTAACCTGATCGCCCTCCTCCACACGGAACGCTGGTGAGACATGCGCCGCAAGGTTCTTGTGTCGTTTTTCATATCGGGTGTATTTAGGGACGAAGTGAAGGTATTCGCGGCGAATGACGAGAGTGCGGTGCATTTTAGTCGAGACGACAGTGCCAGTGAGGATACGGCCGCGGATGGAGACTTCGCCAGTGAAAGGGCATTTCTTGTCTACAACATATAGTCAGACCATCTCGTTCAAGAGCTCCTGACAGTAGCCTTGGGAGTCGTACCAATGTATGTGCCCTCGATCGCAGTCTTGGGTGTCCTGAAGCCCAAACCAACGTCCTTGTACCATCTTCGCCCACCCTTTCCAACTCTGGTACTCTTCGTTCGCTTTGTCTTTTGGTTAACGAAGATATGTGGTTGCTTTTGGAAAGCACGCTCCGATTGTACTGTCAATTCCGTCGCCATGATTGCGGTTTGCTCTGGTCGGGTTGCGGTGGTGGAGTTGAATTTGTGTGGGAAGCCAAGAGTTTCGCTAAAACCGCCGGGCTTTCGGGCCGACATTTTTCCCTTAACTTGGCTTGGCAAACATCATTGTTTACGATCGCCTCGAATTCGTCGCGCTAAATTCTCGTTCACAAACACAGCCAGACTTAACATGCAGTGATCTACTAACGAGAACAGTGGAACAGCATCTGAATTACGGTCAGTATGTCGGGTACCCAGAGTCCCAAGGCGCCACGAGTGCGCCAAGCCCGCAAATCAATCGCACACACGCCCTCCTCGGATATCACTGGGAACGAGGAGAATGCTACGGTGGACGCAGGAACGATTGCGAGCTTCAGCGCGCAGGGGAAACAAGCAGCGAAGAAGAATCGCAGCAAAAGCATAGGTCCTGGTGGTCTCGACGCGCTCAAAGAGGGATCGGGCAACAAGCAGGAGGTGGGGTTACCCAGACAGTTCTTTGGGACATCAAAAGCTGATATATCGTAGCCTGCTCTACCACCTTATGTCAAGTCAATCCTGAAGCCAACCATAGCCTTGTCACCTCCGAAAGCAATCCCACCTCACAATCGAGCTCGTAATAGTTCACCTGGCAAAGCCAATGGGCGGCAAACGCCTGAGAAGTCTCCTCGAAAGTCGCCCGGGAAGAAACCAGCAGAAAATGCTACGCAAGGACTACCCAACCCTTTTGAAACCTCTCCAACGCCAGGGGCCTCCAAATCTCATTCTCCAGCTCGATCGCCGACGCGTGTTGCGGTTCGTACTGAGGAGGAACAGCAAGCAGCAGCGAAAGAGCGTGAGCGACGAGAATTGATCGCGAACAGGGATGCAAGGAGAAAGTCGCTTGGTAGGTAGATCCAGGTCTGGGTAAAAGGCAGAACTGATATGAGTTCCAGCAAATCGAAGAGTGTCGTTCGCTCCAGAAGCTACTTTGCATACATGGAACGTTGTTGAACTACCGGAAGACTCCACCACATCGTCGGCGTCAACAAACTCGACTCGACGGGCATCTGCTCTGACCGCCAACGCAGGATCACCTTACACAGCTCCTAGGTCACCCATGCCATCCTCTGATGCCTCTGAGCCTCCATCAACTCCGCCAGAGCAGGTCGAGGAATTACAGGTGGCTGCGTCTCCTGCCCATCAACGCGACTTGCATCAGAAGAAACGCCGTAGAAGTTCTGGTATTCCCCCTATGAACTTCAACAATCCTGATGAATTCTCTTCAAGCCCTTACAGCGGTGCTTCCGATGATACAGGAACTCAGACTTTCGTGACTGCCGATGAAGAAAGTGACTCCTCAAGCTCTAATGACAACGATCTTGTCCAAGACGAGACCGTGACCGGAGTTGACGGGGATGACAATACGATTCACTCCGCTAGCGGCTCGAGTACGGAATCAAGTGGAAGGCTGGAAGCTGCTCTCCGACAAGCGGCGAATCAAGCTGGTACCCAAGGCATCGATTATGACGAACATGGCGATATTACGATGGAGATGGCTGACGATGAAGTCACTGCTGCTTTTAAGCCATGGATGAAGAATGGAAACTATGTACCCCAGGTAGTAGGTGACCCAAGCGCTCTGCAAGACCAGGAGAACTTGAATCCGTTTTCGCCGGCTTTCAAAGCCAATGTGGGTAGGAGAAACCCCGAGGAGGAAGATGGAACGATGGAGATGACGCAAGCTGTCGGACGCATTCTGCCGGCCTCTGTAGAGGCTCAGGTTTCACCGAAGCGTCGAAAACGAAAGTCTGTTACGGGCAACAACCGACGAAGAAGCAGCGCGGGCCGTCGAAGATCGTCAGGAGATGGCTCAGCCCTTGGTGATGAAACGATGGATCTTACCATAGCGATCGGTGGGATTGAGCAAAAACAGACGTCAAATCAAGGCGAGGACAGGTCTGATCAATCTGGTGACGAAGATGAAGAGCTGACGATGGAGTTTACATCTGTCATTGGGGGCATGGTTCAGCCTAACATTAAACATGCGAGCTCAACGGATGATGACCTTGTTAACCGTCAGCTGTTTCAAGACGCAAACCGTCGTGAGAGTATGGAGTCGTCAAACAATGAAGAGGACATGGACATTACCTTTGCAGCGGGTGGCATTCTTCCTTCCATCACGGAACGTACAGAGCCAATCGACGACCAGACACAGGGTATGGACATGGAGATTACCACTGTCATTGGAGCAATTTTGCCTGACCAGCTCAGTACCGGGAACAAGGCGGAGGCCAAGATTTTAATGGAGCAAGAGACTGATGTCGGCCAACTGTCTGGATCACCATTCTTCGGCACGCCACGACAAAAGCCTGTAGGCGTGGGCTTGTCTGACGAGCGCGCCTTACCAGCCCTTCGAGCTACTCTACCTAAGCCATTCACTACCGAAAACAAGCCCGAGCCAAAGGGCTCAACGGAGCAGGAGACTTATGTTGGCCAATCGTCAGAATCTCCTTTCATCGGGACACCACCACGACAAAAGCCTGTAGGCGTGGGCTTGTCTGACGAGCGCGCCTTACCAGCCCTTCGAGCTACTCTACCTAAGCCGTTCACTACCGAAAACAAGCCAAAGGGCTCAACGGAGCAGGAGACTTATGTTGGCCAATCGTCAGAATCTCCTTTCATCGGGACACCACGACAGAAGCCTATAGGTGTAGGCCTATCAGACGAGCGAGCTTTACCAGCTCATGCTAGGATAATGGCTTCCGAGACTGGCAGTCCCAGCTTAGCATCCTCTCAGACTCGCAGTCAACCCCAAAAAGCTACAGGTAGACAGTCCGTGACTCCAAAATCCCACCAACCTTCGCCCGTCAAGAAGCCCGACACTCCTACGAAACAGTCTACGCCGCAGATGATGCGCCCAACGACGCCTGGCAAGACACCGCCATCAAAGAACGTATCGATGAGAACTGCATCACCAAAGAAGCTTTTCAAAGCTGAGATCAAGGAGGCCAAGAACGCACCAGACTCCACTCCCAGGCGAGATGGTCCAAATCCGCTGTTTCGCAAGGACTTGGCCACTGGCGCTACTACTCCAAGCATTGTTTTAAAACCTCGAAGGCGGAGGTCATCTGGCCTTGGAGCTGATCGAGAAGGTCTTGGCTCTCCACGTGTGACTGCTTTGCTCGAAAGAAGAGGGTCTATTGGTGACAATGCCAAGGCTTTCGTTGCTCAGGGACACAGTCATGCTGGTGTTCGTTTCGAAGACCCTCAAGTTATGGAGCAGGAGCTCGACCAAGAGCGCGCAGAAGACAAGCGTCGAGAGAGCGGACGTGGCATCCTGGAGGCGGAAGCGGACACCCAGGATCTCGAGGAAAAAGACCACACTGCCAACCTCAAAGACTTGATCGAGCGCCTCACACCACAGAAGAAGAAACTCAATGGCCGCAAAAGTCTGCACGTGGGCGCGGCAAAAGGTCTCCTTGGCAAAAGACCTGCAGAGCTTGATGATGACGAGGATGAGGACGGTACTTCAAAGCGCCTAAAGGGACGAGAAGGCAGTCCAGTGAAGAAAGTGAAGCTTCCTGCACCGCCTCCAAAGACAGCCACCACTGGCAGGATGACTAGGTCATCAAGACTGAGCCTCGTAGAGACTGCGGGTAATGCTAGGGCCGGCACACCTTCAGGAAGTGTCTCTCCACTGAAGACAGACACCACTCCCAAGGATCAGCCTCGCTTCAAGGATGTCGAATCACGCAGTCCAGCCAAGGTCCAATCTTTTGAGCAGAAGCTTGACGCAAGCACAACAGATAACGCAGAGCCAACAGAGCAAGAAGACCGCATCCATCTTCAGGACTTCTTGAACATGACTAGCATTCGTTTCATGGAACTGACTACGACAAAGAGAAGGCACACTGTCGTTCCAAACGCTCTGCTAGAGCAGAGTGCTAAGAAGGCCAGCCTCGGAGGCGACGACGCCGATGATGCCAATGCCGGTGATGAGCTCGAAAGCTGCGTTGTAGCTGGAGCCTGTACTGTCCCCATGCTCGAGCTTTACCAGCATGTAAGTCACCGCAGCGTTCTCCAGTTGATCTTCTACATGCTAATGTATGCCTTGTAGTCTTGCAGGGAGCTGAAGAATTACATCTCCGAAGGTCGCAGTATAGTCAAAGAAATCGAAGCCGACACCTACGAAGAGAATCCGCCCTTGTTCCGCGAATACATGTCAGCGCCTCCTGATGTCAAGCCCATTATGGACAACCAATTCAAGAATGTCAAGACGCATGCAAGACTTCTCAGTAAGGCTATGTGGTATGAGTGGCGCATGAAGTTACTCGATGGCCTCAAGGAGGGCTTGCTGAAGATTGGCGAGGGCATGCAAGAGGATGATAGGGTCCTGACCCAGCAGGAGCAGATAATCCAGCCAGTGCTGCCGGCCTTGATTGAAGAGCATGAACGATTGGAGGAGCAAGTGTCGATTGCTCAAGCGCAGGCGGCTGAGCTGGCCGACTGCGACCAAGATGAGCTCAAAGAAGCGAGAGACAGCTTGATGTCCATTGAACGCGATCTTGAAGCGAAGCAGAGGTTAGTCGAAGATCTGCAAAGCCAGCTGCGGGAGCGAGAAGATGGTCTCGCGGATGTCGTCGAGCGCAAGCAAGAATGCATATATGAAATCAAGGACGCAGAGAAGATTCGTTCAGATTGTCGAGGTTGGAGCTCTACAGAAGTTTCAGCGTTGCATGGTAGGTTTCATTTCGAGCTTCCTGTCCACGACACGGTCACTTACTGTTCCTAGCAAATGTCACCGCTCTCGAAGATTCTCATGGGTGGACTATCGTCTCCGCTACCGATTCAGCCCTCACCATGACATACAACAGCACACTCCAGCTCTTCTTCACTCCCTCTTCCTTCGAATCAAACGAACCACCAGCCAACCCGGAGAATTCGCCTATCAGTCTTACATACATCGCCGACTCCCACGGATACCATCCGCAGCCTTTAATGACAGAGAAGCGCTTCTTTCTCCAGATCATGCGTGCACAATTACAATGCTTGCAGCAGTCTCAAACGAAAGTCAAGGACCTGCTAGCGTTTGTGAGTAGCAGCTGGGAGATCGCTTCGACCATCGCAGAACAGGCACGCCTTTTGGGCGTCAGCTACATCACGGAGCCTACAATCACGTCAGACGAGGTCATGGCCATCCGCTCGTTCATTCTCTTAAATACCATGAGGACAAAAGTCGAGGTAGTCTTCGAGGTCAGGGTACGCAGCGGAGATGGCGTTGCGTCTTTAGGCGTTGGCGTAAAGTCGAGCGCGAAGGTTCTCTATGGAGAGGGTTTAAAGGAGAAGAAGATGGGGGAGTTCCTGGAGTCGAAGATTGCTGGGAAGGGTAAAGGCGCAAAGGAAAGGGGTATTTGGGCGAAGGCCGTAAGGGAGTTAGAGGAGCGATTGGTGGCTCGGGGAAAGAAGCAGTAAGGATGAACAGTCGTCTAGATCTGAAGTCTGGTCCTGCTAGCGATTTGATATAGTTCAATGCTTTTTTCAGACGTGGTTTTCCCAGGATGTCGTGACCTTGTCTTCCCTGAGTCCACAGGTCTCTCGGCCGTGCCATGTATTGATCTTTTCAGAAAGCGGAGGATTCCATACTCTTGCGACAAAGACCATGCGGAATCATCAAGATGTGTAGGTCGCCTTCTGGCCTATGGGGTCGTGCAGCGTCATCCCCCGGTCACGGACTGCTGGAGTCCTCGGCCTTCCAGCAATGGCGAAATAATCAAGATGTGTAGATCGCCTTCTGGCCTATGGGGTCGTGCAGCGTCATCCCCCGGTCACGGACTGCTGGAGTCCTCGGCCTTCCAGCAATGGCGAAATAATCCCCGGGAGCTTCATGTTTAAGCGGCATCTCAGGCGGTGGTGGAAGAGTTCTCAGCTCCGCGATATATGAAAATATCAACGATCGGTGCAATACAGATCAGAAGCCTTGAAGAAGGCCACCGATATGTTTGAGTTCCCTAATCCCACCAGAACTAGCACTGTTGTGCGCTTTGGATAGTAACTTCTATAACATACCTAATGATGCTATACCATCAAGATTAGCATCAGGTCTCTGCCGTGGAGCATAACTCTGGACTTGAGAACCCGCAAAGGACCAACGTGGCGAAAGACTCAACGGGTGGTAGTCACTGTCGCCTAGTGCTAATCTAGAGCAGATGTAAGGCGTCGCACAACGGGTTCCTTCACACAACGTGTTGAGCCGAGTTGTCCATGCGCGAGATGGCGGGACTAGATGTAAGATTCTATACGTCTGGGCAAGACAAAAGCAAACTGGAAGGGATCGAGCCACCAGTTTGCATTGGGTTCAAGTAGGAACTCTCAAAGACGGCGAACCAGTCTTCCTCTGCAGCTCACCCCTGTGCATGGCAGCCGGTGGACTCGTCTCGTAGCCATTGACCCTCAGGCTTTGCGCTCTGGTACTGGCACTCGAGTTGGAAGTAGCGGTGGACATCATACTGAGCCTCTGATTCGGTACAGGTACAGCCTTAGCCCTTTGCACTGGGAGAGCTGGATTCTCATCGTAAGCGAGATACTTGGACAGCCTTGTAGGAGTGGAGATGCTTCTCGGGCTTTCCGCTTTCTCGGACTTGACCTGCCGTCCTCGTGAAGGACTCCGGCCGCTGAGTGGACTGTGCATCCGCAATGGGGTGTCGGAGCCCCAAAGATCTTCAGTAAGCAGAGCCCGCTCGTCCACAGGCGAGTCCGCAGCCGAATAGCTGTGTGCACGTATCATATTGTCTGGACGCCCGACGCTTTGCGTGTTAGCAGAACTCGATGCAATCCTCTCTTTCACTGGACCTCTTTTGCCCATGCTGGTCCTGAGACCTTCGAGCCACCACTCCCAGGCAGGTACTTCAATGCCATCGAAGAACACCACCACCGTATCCCCTTTGTCCTTGCCAGAGTAATAACTCCAATCCTTATCAGTCAACTTGTCTGTCCAGTCCAAGTCGCCTCCGAGCTCGCCCATCATATTCGCTTTCGCCTTCACGCTCATGTTGGCTTCTTTGTCCTTATCTTCCCACGCGTTGATGCTACAGCTCGGAGATGTGTAAGTCCTAGTAATAATGCGTAGACCATGGCGTCGAAGCTGAGGACCGTGGGAGGAGGAGAGAAGAGCTTTGTTGGCACTGAGCCATGATTGGAAGAGAGTCTCGTCGTTGTATGAGGTTAGAGTGATTGGTTTCTGGGCGATGAGGACGGCACCAAAGCTATCCTTCGATTTGTATTTGATGCGGGCATCAGCACCGACAGGGAGAGTGCTACTGAGAGAAGGAAAGGGGTCAGCGCGTCGATTTATAGATACATGGCAGGATTCCTAGCACTGCCGTGCTTGTAAAGGAGGGTCAATCTCACGGCGTGTTTCCGCTCGCATCTACAGTCCACTGCCTCACACCTTGGCTAGTTCGAGGCCTCCACTCAATGCCTAGCTGCTCCATCTTCCTCGGCGCACGCTTGAGTGGTTTGAATTCATGCCCACTGCTGACGTTCAAGCCTCCACCAGTGGCATCAGCTTGCATGCTTCCGTCCGACTCTTGCCAAGTAATGTTGGCGATATGATTCCACCTTCCATCCTTCTCTAGGTAACCCACGCATGGCGGATTCATATCTCCTGCTGAGATTGGTTCTACGCACATTTCGGGGTCAGCATTCCCTCTTAAAGATAAATGATTGAGTTACAAGACAAGTCGCGTGAGCAGAGCAGGTCAATTGCTCCGTAAACATGTCTTGCCGCTTAATTTCAATACCAAATAGGAAGGATCTTCTACGAAATGTACGTACGGAAAAGTGCAACACCGCATCCAAAGTGCTGCATATTCTTCGCGTACTGGACGCCCAGGGTGTCACCCCGTGGTGCCATTCTCGCGGCGACAGAGATGATGAGGACTGAGAATGTTGTATATGCTTCATGTTGGAAAGAGGTCCAGGGTTCTTGGAATGGGCGTTGGACTGTGGTACTGCTGGCCTCTCACGGCTGAGGCTGAACAAGGGTCATTCTGGGCCGTCAGCGGTCGGCCTGAGGCAGAACCAGCACGCTTTGTCAAGGGGACCCAATCAAGGTATGGGGAAGCGCACATGTCGTGTAATCAATTGCGGCGGGCAACATTGAAACCTAGTGACCACTTGGGACTCGCATACCAAAAGAGTCATTCAACCAATTTACCAGTCATGTTAAATCCGAGCCCTACATCTAGTCCCGATTAGTCGAAGCGCGTCGCGTCTGCAACCTCGGACTTTGCTCACAAGAGACTCAGTATTCATATTCCCGTACTTCCCATCGCCAAAATGGCTGAGGATGATGAGAACCCTCTATTGCAACCTCCTTCGTGAGTGTTAATCTACTTCAGTATCTATATGTCCATTGCTGACAGCACGAAAGGGAAGAGGAGTACCCTACTATTGAACGGCAACTCTCCTCCTACAACCCTCTTCAAACGTTCCACCTAGCCAAAGGTGATCAAAAGCACTACCAACAGCAGTATGGCGATATGTATTTTTTGCGATTAGCGGAGCTGAAGCCCGCTGTGGAAGAGATTGCTGCGGAAGCATGGAGTGATATAGTGGTAGGTGTCCCCCACCAAATATCAGATACACAGTCTCTGATGTCGTGTCCATTTCAGATAGCGGGGGAAAGCGTCAGGCGCGTCGACCGGGTTCTGGATGTAAGACAGGGCGAGCTTTGCTGGGTTGCTGGAACAGTCTATATGGATATGCCATTGAAACCCAATATTCTAGACGACATATCCAAAGACGTACGTGCTCGTTGGCAGAGGATGCGCCTCCGTGTTCACACTTTTCTAGCATTGGATCTCAGCCCCTCCACCGCGCGAGAAATACCTGTCTCCTACAGGCCAAGACCAAACCATGCTTGAAGATGAGTCAGGGCGGTTAAGGCTAATTGGAACGCCCTTGCAAATATCTATGCTGGTAACAGGTTGTATTATAGCAGTCATGGGAACGGAGAATGCAAATGGTGATTTCGAAGTTATGGACATGAAAGTACCGGATCTCCCTCGGCAACCACAGCGATGGGAACGCGATGACGGCTCAGCTATCTTGGCTAATGGCGGAGGGAAGTCGGAAAGGAAAGAGCGGAAAGAACGTAAAGCAGGGGGGAAGGTGGCCATAGTCAGCGGTCTGGGGATCAACGGCGAAGAAGGCGATACCTTGACTCTGGATCTCCTCATGGAATACCTTCTGGGCGAGGCATGTGGCCAATCGACTCAGCACGAGGTTGGAAAGATCTCGCGACTCATCATAGCCGGCAACTCAATCAGTGAAGGCATGCCATTAGATTCTAGAGACGAGCTTACGGACAAAAAGTCAAGCAAGAAGTACGGCTACGACTCTTCCGCCTACAATCCCGCCCCGACCGTGCGTCTTGATGAGTTCTTGGCCAGTCTTCTACCCTCCATACCCATCACGCTTCTGCCCGGGGGAAGTGACCCAGCAAATCTTTCGCTACCGCAGCAGCCAATACATCCCGCCATGTTTCCACATAGCAGAGCCTATACGCCAATGCCAGGATCGCAGGGGCCAGGATGGTTTGACAGCGTCACAAACCCGTGGGAAGGCGATGTGGATGGCTGGAGATTGATGGGAAATGGGGGCCAACCAATTGACGATGTGTTCAAGTACGTGGAGGGAGACGAGCGGTTGGAGATGATGGAAAACCTCCTAAGATGGAGATGTGGAGCTCCTACTGCGCCAGATACACTATGTAAGCTTCCACATAGTTCTTGAGACGCTGATGCTGATGGACGATAATTCAGGGTGCTACCCTTTTCAGGACAAGGACCAGTTCGTCATCGGAGAGTGTCCGCATGTCTATTTCGTGGGCAGCCAGCCAGCCTTCGAAACGGCCGTCATTGATGGCCCAGTGGGGCAATCAGTACGACTGATCGCTGTGCCGAAATTCAAAGAGACGGGAGAAGTAGTTCTGCTCGATATGGATACTCTGGAAGTTGAGACTGTCAAGTTTGAAGTTTTCAACGAGACATGACGAAATTATCCACCCTCACATCTTTATGATCATCGGCCTCTCCAGCGCCCGTTCTTGATGGACTAGCACCAGCAGCAAGCCTGAACACGGCAACAGTTTGACCCTCCGCAAGCTCAGGCTTAAAGTTTCACATTCCCCTCCGCAGACTGACCTTCGCAAAAAGGAAACTAGAGATAGGAGGAGCCTATGCAGGACAATAAATAAAAACGAGAGGTCACAGAGGAGCGGAGAACCTGATAGTATGCCGATCAGAGATGTTGATGGCTGAAGGATCCCGGCGCCTGCCGCAAGAGAGGAGATTGGTGAAGGCGAAGAGCAGATCGAGATTCAATAATGTTGATGCATGTAATTGTCCCCTTCCCGCAAGGAAGACCTGTTGATCTATGCACGAGGACCCCTCGATAGCTTACTTGATTGC